AGTAACAAGTGAGGTTACAAAAAGTGTTCACTGTCTAAGGTCGCTCTAGTTACCTACTATCTTAAAAGAAGTAGATAGAGGATAACAGTATATATTGCTTCAGAAGAGAAAATAAAGATTATTAGCAGTAGTAATTTGTTCAATATAAAAGATTTAATTGTTTTTAAAACTATTCAGCATTGAGATAGATAGGTTTGAAGAAATTATATTATATATTAGGTAAGGATTAGTTAGTTGTATTAAGGTGTTATTAGAGATACTTTACTATGTTATTATGTCTCTAATATTATATATACTTAAAGAAATATTAAATTAGTATTGTATAGGATTTTAATACAAATTTATAATAAGATCATTAAATATAAAAGTTAAGAAACTGAAAAAATAAAAATTTACTTAGAAATTCTTAAATAAAAAAATAATATAAAATTTTAATAATATTGTTAAATTAATAAAAATTTATAAATAATCTCTGAGTCAATAGTGCAGTGATTAGTACTCTGAGGATCACAATTACAAGGTTGCTGATTCTAGTCCAACTAGAAGATAAAAGCTGTGCCAAGACTATGATTGAAAATAATCTTTAAGAGGAACTTTCTGCTTTCAGATAAATTACTACAATGATAAATAAGTTATATAACATAGCTACAAAGATTATGCAGCACTCAGAAAAAGAAAAATTTAACAAAAAACATCATTAACATAAGGTTTTCCAGCTTAAAATAATATAAAAAAATGAATAATAGAAGAACGATCTGGCTGATAGGTTATGTGAAATTAGAGAACTACAGATTGAATAAAAATAGTAGGTTCTATATCACAGAACTGGGGACCTGAGATATTATATAATGGACTTAACAGAGCATGAGCTATCTCATGAGCATAGTAATGAATATAGAGGTCACCTGCCATCTGATGATTTTTGCAAAATAATAACTCTGACCTTTAAGAGATGTGACAGATCTTAAAGATGTCTAAAGACCTTCAGAATAGTAGTGAGAGGTAAAATTAAAAAAAAAAGTTTATAACTTATTTCTAAAAAAAATAGATAAATAAACTAAATAGCTAATATATAAAACAAAATATGCACTAACTAAACTATCAGAATTATTAAAAAAAAAATATAAAAATATATTATATTAGATCATTTAGATTAATAATCTAAAAAATTTTATTAATTCTAAATAGTAGTTAGAAAAAAATAATAAAAAATATATTAAAAAAACAGGTATTAAAATTTGAATAAACTTTACAAAAATATAATAATTTAATAATTAATTTTAATTGCAAATATTAATTTTAATTATAATAATATTAGGTTAACTATAAGTATAAAATATAAAAAACTCTAATGAATTTCATAATAAAATCAAAAGTTCTTTATATAAGTAAACTGCCTTAAAAACTTTGTAATCATGACATATTTGCATTAGTATTAATTAAGGCAGTTGGTAAAATATTTAATAAAAGTCTTATAGACAAGTTCTAAGTATAACAACTAATATAAAACCTTCAAACAAACTAAAATTAAATAATAACTAAAATTGTACAATAACTAATTGTATGCACTTTTTATAATTATTTCTGTAATTGTTATAAAAACAACTATTAGCCAAAAGATACTATTAATAAAATTCTAGATTGCAAATACTTACTTTAATATTAAAATTTTTAACTTTTGATATCAGATTTTCTATTAAATTCATATAACACTAATAATATAAAATATTACCCTCTTTTTATATTACCTTTGTTAAACTATTTCTTTCAACTTGCTTTTATTTTTTATTCTTTAATAAATAAAATTCACTAGATTTAGTAATTTTGTATTACTTATATTTAGTAATTCCAATGATAATTTCAAACGTAACTTTGAATATGAAAACTGTTAGATTAAGCAAATATGTTATATGCCTAAGAGAAAGCTATAAGTTTTCTTAATGTACTTGTCCCTCTTTACTTGTAAGTTGTTACCCGAGCTTTTGAAAAAAATATTATAAACCATATAAAAAAAAAATTTTAATTAATTATGTAACGATCTACAAAATCGGGCACTCGGGACGTTCTTACGTATATATTTCATATACTCTAAGCATGATTTTGCTGTGAAAAAAAAACCATATAATGGGTATTGTTAAGTCTAACCCTAAATGTTGGTCGATCTACTAATCCATTCATTTTAATACTGCGGAGTGTTGAGAAAACGTAAGAATTTTAGAATTGATGATTAGTAATTCTATAACGATAAAACATACAATTTTGCTTGTAGAATTACTAAAATTATTAATGATCATCAATTCTAAACTTTTGCACGTATTATTATACAACTGCGGAATCAATTCTTCTGGACTTGTTTTTTCCCAATATGACCATCACTCATACATATAATATTTATCTGTCATATAAGGCTAGATAGTTTGTACGTTATCGTTATTATACGTACGTACCCGGTTTTTAAACAAACCCTTTTTTTTAAGTATATATTACGTAACTGCTTTTATAATACATATTGATTACGCTAACATAATGAAAATCTTTTAATATTTATTAAATGGTTGTCCACTTACTAAAATGAGCTATGGAACTTTTGGCTAAAGGTATACCATATAAAGTAGCACCCGTTGTTGATGTTGGTACGACGATAACGTAATCTCCAATCTTAACATCAATTTTTTGATTATCTGTATCCAACACTTTACAATTATCTGATCTATTCAACATTTGATCGTCTATGCACTTTAGTACTTGAACGTTATCAAAATAGATTTTGTGCCCTCCATCTGTACGTCCCCTGAATCTTTCATTATGACGATTTGAAATACCTTCTACTAATACTAACTGCGGATTACCTAATAAAGTGTTCAATTTAATTTTTGCATTTTTATGAAAAGTTTGAATTACTTCGTTTAATCGACGAGTTTTGACATTTCCGGGCACGTCATCGAGATAATTTCGATGCGCATGTGTTTTTTCACGCATACTGTGTTTATATTATTGAGTTTATATATGAATAATTAACAAATAAAAAATTCATTAATTAACTTGATACAAAATGTAATTAAGTTTTGCTTACCTATATGCAAACATATATGCCATATCAAATTTAACCTTATCCATATAAAAATAATATAATAACGATTTATAAATATACAGGGAATTTTAATTAAGGATTTTCAAAAATAACAACTTACAATTTCCATTAGGCTTATAGTATCTTGATGTTCTTCTTCTGTCTCACCACAAAATCCAGTTATGATATCTGTGCTAATAGAGACATTAGGTATTATATCTCGGATGGTGTTAACTAAATCTAAATATCTGAAAAGTTTATCAATATCAACATTTGTTGTAGACATTGAAATTAATATGGAAATACAGTTGATACTATCTATCTGTTTAGTTGTATAAAATATTTGTTTTTTAATCGTAGGATGCAATTATATAATAGATTTAATAGATTTTTGTTAGCGAATTAGACAGTATCAACTGTACTATACATAAGATATTAATAAATGCATGTTTTGTATGGCAAAGCTTACGCCTCACGTGAATATCCACGCCGCATCCGTTCTAATACTTTTGTATTTCCTGATTGTACTGGCAAATGTATTTGGTTACAAATGTTTGGCCGTTCTGCGATTAGTTTCAATAAATCCGTTGGAAAATCTTTTGGATGAGGTGATATAAAACGTATTCGCATCTTTTATTTAAAATCTGTAATTAGGAAGGTTTAATGGACTGAAAGAACAAATGATTAATAGTAAAATGAGATACCTCTGGATCAATTTTGGATACATGATCAAGCAATTCAGTAAATCTTATACCACCCTCTTTTCGACGATAGATAGTTTTAAATCCATCGTTACTAAGTTGGTTACCAAGACCAAGTGATTTATAAAAGTCATATTCACTTGTATCTCTATATGAATTAACATTTTGTCCAAGGAGAACAACTAAAATTAAAACATAATAATTAGTATAATCATGGATATGTTATATAAATCATAATTTTAAAAATGTTAACCTTCTTTAACTCCTCGATCACTTAGAGTTTTGACCTCTTCAACAATAGATGGATACAAGGGACGACTTCTTTCAATACCTATGCGATTATTTTAGGCTAAGTAAACAAAATTAAATATTGTATAATTACTGTTATTGCTGTTGCTATTTACCTCTAAGGTGAATTTAGATGAAAAGACAATGCATCAGATATAATTCATCATTTTATAATTATGTAGAGCGAAGGACAATTAAAGCAAATAGTACCTTGTATGAGGCACTATGCAAAATGAGCACATGTTATTGCAGCCTCTTGATGATAGAAAAGTAGAACACACATAAAAGAAAGTTTTTTGAAAACAAATTCAAGCACACAGATTTAAATTTTATACAAACCGCATAATACTTAATGAGGCACTAACATTGTCTTGATGCAACCTAACCGGCATTATATCAGCATAAGTTTCATCTGCTGATAACATAACATTAGCAATACCCTGAGAAGTTTGAACAGCTAATGATAACAAATGAGGAATTGAGCGATATGCATCAGGACCACAAACAATGTCAACCGTTTTATCAGCATCGAGTAATTTTGTTTTTAAACGTTCTGCCATGCACTAATGAATAATAAGAATAATAAGAGAAATATTACTATGAAAATTGTGACACCATTATTTTAAAGAGAATAGAACTTACACCCAATACACCGATTAACGGTTTTTGATCTTTTTTCATACTTTTTAATACATTTAACCGATGCCAAATTTTATTTTCGGCTTTATCCCTAATAGCACACTATAAAAAAACCAAGTCAGAAAAATAATATAAATAAATTAAAATAAAGGATTTATTTGGCAAAGTTTTTTTTTCGTTACTACCGTAACCAAAAATACAATATCAGCATCTTCTAAACGACTAGTTTTTTGATATCCGGAAGAATTCATTATTGACATTAAAATTTCAGTATCATTAACGTTCATTTGACATCCATAAACTTCTATAAAATATTTTGTATTTATTCCTAATGTTTTGATATCATTTTTCAAATAGGGAATTTGGTCCGCTATTCCTATTAGTTCATTACTATCTTTTTTTTTATATAAATCATGATTCTGTGTTTTTGTTGCTGAAGTTATTTGTAGAAAATCCTTAAAGGATGTTTTATTATCAAATACTAAATATTTCTTAGATTTTTGAGATTTGGAAGAAGGAAATGAAGTATATGAAATCTTTTGATATATACAAGCTGTGTCGAAAAGAATTTTGCTAGGAAACCAAGTTAGATGAGATAAAGATGATTTATTAATTCGATTGGTTAGGTTCTTGGTTAAATAAAGACTATTATAAAATCTAAAGACCGTCATGATCAGAATTTTTGTTCATATTTTTCACATGAATTTTACCAAATATTTTTATCGGGTAGATCCGGATCAGTACGGACTACCTCGTAAAAATCCTCTTAACAGGTAATTAATTCACTTAAGGAATAAATGCTGTTGTATTAACAGTTAAAAATTTTGACGGTATACGTAGTCTTAAAATTGGGTTTATTATCGTTATGATTTCATGCGTATAGATTTTTTATAGTATAAAAAAAAAACTAATTCATCACATCCCTTATTTTTTATTAAATATGATAAAAATTATTTTTAATTTCTGCAAATACATTTATACAAACGCATAAAGCTAACGATATGTAAAGTGAATTTTGATATCTATATATATATAGCATTTATAATTATAATTATTATATAGTACATAAAAAAACCAAATATAATTTAAATTAAAATATGCTTAAAACAAAAAAACGGTCTGGAATAAGACCGAACCTCATCATTATTTCAATAGGTTTTCATAGTTTGGCGGTAAATCCCTCAAAAATAGATCTTGTTGAGATCGAATTGCCGTAAAAGTTATTAGATCATTACCATATTGAAGCAATGACCCGTTAATGAATTCACCTTCATCGTACGTTGGTAGATCATCAGCACATATACATGAAAGTATGGTAACTGGCATATTGACTTCAAATTTATTCTTTTTGCCCTTTGAACTATCAGCAACTGGTGTCATTACCGTGAAAAGAAATCTTAATTTATGTGTTATGATTATTCCAGAAGATTTACATGAATAATGAATCGGACCAGTGCATTCTGGCATTCGAGGCATAATGTGACAATAAATTTTTCCGTCTTCATCAATAGATTTAGAAATATCGGGGTCGTCAATTCGACAATGAAATGCATCAAAAGTTTGAGATTCAGTAACTTTTTGACCATTAGATTTATAAGTAGATTCTTCATGAATTTTTAACTGGATGCCAATAATTTGTATATCTTGAATAAGAGGACTAAATTTTAAATCAATTTGCATTGGTTCACCAAGCATGTATGCTTTCTTTGACAAATTTATTTCATAACCTAACGTTTTTCTCCAATCGTTTGCATAGACTATTCCTTCCGCATTTCTTTCATCAAATATTGTTCGTATTATGGGCACGTCTTGTGATGCCTTAATATTTGGTTGTAATCCAGAACGTATAGCACGTGCAACAAGTTTATAAGAGACTTTACCACGATCAGCATTTATTGTTTCGGGCAGATTACCGGGCAGGTATAATTCGAAATCATAAATATGAGCACCGGCATCTAATAATTGAAATGAAGATCCTGAACTAAAGAACCTTGAGTTGGATCCTCTTGGTGATGACAAAAATGTCCAATTGTGAGATATGACTTCGTGTTCTTCACATAACTCGTTTCCATGAGAGCCAGGACCTAATAAAAATGAAGATATAAAACATGTGTTATTAATAAAAGGGAAAATCATAAACAACCAAAAACGTTGAAAAAAACATACCAGTATAAATCTTTCCCTCTGGCCAAAATGTTTTTATCTTTCCAACAAACTTCATTTCTATTTTCTTTATCTTTGTAGGTTTATTCAAGTTCAGAATTAATTTACCTCTCAAGAAACAACCTACAGATTCTTGTGGGATTCCTCTGAGAAACAAAATTGGTTCCACTAAATGAAATTTTATATTTGTTGAAGGAGGAGGAAAAATCCCTTCAAGCTTTATCAATGATTTTAGTCTGTTTTTTTTTGCATAGTGAATATGTTGATGAGATGAAGATGTTGTCAAGGTACTATATGGCATTCTTACTGGCAGAAATGGAAAGGATAAAAGTAAAAAGCAGATAACTGGTGTATAAATACAAAAAATATAGACAAAATTAAGTAATTCTATAAATATTTTATTCAAGCATTTTATCATATAAATTTCAGTGTATTTATAAATTTGATAATCCCGAATAATACACTATCGTACGAACCTTGTTTTTATAAATTTTTTTAATTTACCGTTAATGTAGTACGAAGACGTATAATGTGCGTTTCCTCCAATCTTTTATAAACGGTATTACAATAGTAAATACAAGTGTGTAAAAATAGGCATAGAAAAAGACTCTTTATGTTATTTGAGATTATTTATTTGAACTATTTTTATTTGAGGAAATTATTTATTTGAGAAACGCTGCTCGAAAATAAAATAGAAAAATTTTAACCTAGAAAGTTCACTAGTGAATTAAGTCAGTTATAAAAACAACTATTATGACGTAATCAGGATAAATAAATTCATTAATTTTTTTATTTTTGGACAGATTTGTTACTTTAAATGAAATCAGCACTTACTCATCATGATTGTATTTCAAACAAAACAGAAAAATTTACCTATACCTTAACCAGGCTTCCATATATAATAATAATTTGTTTATGGCTAGATCCGTTGGTACTTTGACTTGGCCGAATAGTTGGTCTATGACGACAACGTCAATCATTTCCACATCTCGGGTTGGGGTTTGCAGCAAAAGACGTATCGGTATGAAATTAGCTTAGTACCACTATCTCTATACCAATACGTAATTCATACGGAGTAATCATTATTTGAGATATTGTTCAAAGAAAATGTAGAGTAATTAAATACGTAAGTAGTTTGATATGATTTTATATGTTCAAATTCACTCCGGATAAATATCAAATATATATAAAATAAAACTTAACTATTTTAGAAGTCAAATTTTTATGGCGCTAACAATAGGTGCACAGTAAATGTAACTAAGTACTTGGTAATCTTTTTTTTTCATCATTTGATTTCAGCAGATGCTCGGACTTATTTGATCGTTAAGGCTTATCATTGCGATAATATTTTTGTTCTTGAACCAAATGTATGGTAAAAACATTACATGTACAGTACCAATGAGATCACTATCACTATGTACGTAGTACATACTTTTATAATATATTTCTTTCAAAATATATTATTTCCCAGTTCATCAAAAATATTAAAATCTTGTATTACATTAAACTTGTTTTCACAAACCCTACCTGGGGTACGCATTATTATTATATTATTCCTCCTTAATGATTGATCACATGCATGGCTAACTAATCACTATCAATTGTCTTAGAAGGCTAAACTGTTTCCACCAATTTGGAAAATCTTTATTATATTACTAACATATTAAGCATACGTATCAGCCCCGTAAAACATGCTGTGCCCCATCACTATTAGGCGTTGATCCAATAAATATTATTCCTATTTAAGCACAACACTTTTGTCTGCAGATTGTAATATATATACGTAGTAGAATACGTATAACTTTGATACAGGTCAGATCGCTTTCCCAAAAGCTTTGTTCCAGTACTACGTAGTGTTTAGTCTTATTCTTTTAAATTTTTGCTTATATTCCGAAATTGGGGTTGTATTAATTTACCCGACAATCATTATCACGTAACGTGACAATCTGCAAATTATACATTTAAACTAATAATATGCTAAGTTGTCACTCTAAGTGATGTCGATTAATTTATTGCCGCCATTATTTGATTTATCTGAAAATAAAAAAATTCTGCCCAACATCCTATATTCGCTTAGGGTATATGTAGAAATTATGTATTAATTGAATGGTACACAGGGTTGTGGCATCCCACTAACACCAAATCTGTGGCACTTAAGGAGGTATAATTTCAGTGGTAAACCGAACTTAACTTGCTGATTATTGGTCTTTGAGATTTCGTAATTGTGGTTGTATCTCAGCGAATATGAAAAAAAAACCACCCATAATTTTGTAGGCTTTATTTAAGATTATAAAGCTATACTTTCATTTTTGTGAAATTTCAAATACTCATTAAATGTTACAATATTGGATGTCTTTAAATGATTATACCAAATATTGATTTATACCATACTAAAGTACTATCTTTCTGAAGCATTTACGAAATCTGTGCCAGGTTATGCATGTTATCGATTATCATGTAAAAATTATTGAAGTCCTCATGCAGTATGAAAATTTCCAAACTTTGAGCGAAAATATCTCAATAACTACTTATTTAAAATTGATAAAAAATTTTTTATTTTAATTATATAAAACAATAGAATTAAAATAAAAAACCTTTCATCAATTTTAAATAGGTATTTATTGAGATATCATCACTCAAAGTTTGGAAAAAACTTAGCCGCGGTCTTTATTTTGCTAATTGCCTAAATTTTTTTTGAACTTTGAGCGATGATATCTCAGTAGCTGCTTATCTAAACTTGATAAAAAAAATTTTTTTTAATTCTATTAATCCATAGAATCAATAAAAAAAAATTTCATAGATTTAAACGGGTAGCTATCTAGAAATCATAGCTCAAAGTTCAAAAAAAATTTAAACGATTATCAAAACAAAGACCGCGGCTAAGTTTTTCCAAACTTTGAACGATGATATCTCAATAACTACTTATATAAAATCGATTAAATTTTTTTTATTTTAATTTTATTGATTCATAATTGAATAACAAATTCTGTATTGATTTTAAATAAGTAGTTATTGGGATATTTTCGCTCAAAGTTTGAAAAATTTCATACACCATGAGATCTTAGAAAAATTTTACATGATTGATAACATGCATAACCTGGTACAGATTTCGGAAATGCTTCTTTACGGTATTGAATCAAATATTTCCTAAATTATCGACCTCAATAAATATTCCAAATTTCGACTTCAACAAATCTCTAAATTGTCAACTTCAATAAATGCCTAAATTGTCAACTTCAATAAATACCTAAATTGTCAAAAAATATTCTAAATTGTCGATTTCAATAGATATTCCAAATTGTCGATTTCAATAAATTTCCAAATTGTCGATTCCACAGTATTGTACATATACATTTGAGTATTAAATAAATAGCAATTAGTGACTTGAGTTGGATATCCAGTATCTACCATTGGTGTACTTCACATAAAATGTTTTGTCGAAAAATTTTCGGAATTTTACATAGTATCACTAGGTGACATCAGCATTGACTCGATAATTTTTATCGGTTCGGTTACTAGAAATATGGTGCCCTAATTCTCCCCACCACTTCACTATCGGAGTAATATAAAATTGATTAATAGCAAAGATACTCCGATATGTGAATAATTAGTAGAACCAATCAGAAGTGGTGGGGAATATTAGTAAATTCCTGGAAGGTGAGACCGGAATACCGTGACAGATCACGTAAAAATGCACGAAATGCAATAAATTGCATCTATGACCGAAACGGTATTTCGGATGCAGAGGGGTAGAAGGGAAATAAGGGGAGGATGTAAAGACAAATTACACATCCTTAAGAATTGTAAATAGTATTAAGTAGTTTTAAGGAATAATAAGTGCAAAGTCGCATTTGTGAGCGATGAAAGTTAATAATATAAATAAAGGCCGAAATGGCCCTTAGGAGCAATAATGCTTCGTTTGCTTTATAATAAGTCCCAATAATATACATCTTCCATAATACACATTAACACTCTACCCAGTATAAACCCTGTAAAACCCTTATAAACATCGTTGTTCGTTCAAGTTCTTGATCACGTACCTACCCTGCTGGACTTCGTTGACCCCAAGTAACCAAAAGCCTTAATCACCCACCAGCCAAATCTAACACCCTCTTTCGTAAAGGTTGCCTATCGTAAGTTACACGAGATTTTGGATTGTGGAGCAACCGAGTCGCAGTTTTCCGAAAGTTCACAATATGAATGCCATCAAGGGAAAATGTATATTATCAGACTTTCAATTCTATTTTTGTCCAGTTTGTTTTCTGAGTGCCGTCTATCATCTGACTTTCAATTATATTCGTAATGACTTGTCACAAAATATAATTGAAAGTGATTTTCCTAGATGAACAAACTGGATACAAAATATAATTGGAAGCCTGATGACAGTTTCCTTGATGACACACATATGAAAGCAGCTGGAACACCGGCTATATGAAATCTTTGCCGTCGGGAATCAAAAGATTCAGATAATTTCGGTCGTGATACACATTTTCATGAAAACTTTATTCGTTATGCTAATAAAACATATATCTAAGGTTCGGAACCGTGAAAATTGTGCTAATGGTTAATCGCGTCGCTTAACTATAAGCTACACGTTTAATCTCTTAATAGTTTAACCGTTTATTAATCGTTTTGTAAATCGTTTGGTTTATTATTTAATCATTTATCCGTTTGATCGTTATCTGTTTAACTGCTTATTAATCATTGAAACGTTTATTGATCATTTTACCAATTAATGTTACGTCGCATTACTTATTACCGGTAAATACCCAATGCTTTTAAAACAATGAAACTTTGAGTCAACACCACAAAGCAACGAACTTTCACAATTTATCAGGATTATATAAGTTTGTGCGGCCTGTTTTTTAATAACTTACTTATGCTAGTGATACACATTTGTCCTGTGAATAAAATCCGATTAATAATCTTTATTACAAGTATAGATATGTACAATACATGCTATTTACCATGCCCATGTTTTTTTTTGCCTCTATAGAGGCATTAAACGCGATCATTAAACGATTAACCATATAAAATTTAACAATCGGTTTAGCGATTAATTTAACGGTTTATAAAATTTTTTACTTTTTTAACCATATAATATAGATAAACGATTATTGGATCAAAAAATTATAATGTAGTTTTTATATATTAAAAGATAAAAAAAATACTTTTGGATATTTAGCACTTAATAAGGATTTTTTTTAATATAGTTATTTTCTCTATAATTATATAGTTAAGTATATACTTATCTGATGACAATATATAAATATGATTATATAAAAGTGCTATAGCATTATATTATATAAAATTATAAATATATGGATTTTTGTCTTAAAAATCAAGTTATGAGATATATAATTTACTATGTCTCATAATTTGACTTTCAAGGCAAAGACTTTATATGTAATTATAAAGAGGTAAATTATAAATATCTGTAATTATAAAAAAGTAAATTATAAATTTTTTTATAATAAAAAAATTCAAAATAGGTTTATATATAGTTTAGAACAGTAAAAACATCTAATGTTTTTTTAAAATATCAAATTTTTAATTATATAATTAAATTTGATTGATTATTTTTTATATAATAAATTTTGATTGGTTAATAAACATATAAACAATTTTGAGAATGGTGATCCTAGTGTAGTGGTTGGGTTGTCATTCTTCAAGCAGTAGGTTCAGAGTTCAAATCTCACTGGCAATAAAATTTTGAAAAATGGTTCTATTTTGACAACTTGATTGGAGTATCTGGATTATAATCTTGTAATTCTGATTGTATTAAAACTAACTTTAAAAATGTGCATTATTATATAAATAAATCTGAAAAATATATATTCTATAAGAAGTTTTGTTTAGAAATCCCAAGTAAAGAAGTAGTATAATCTTTGACAGTATTATTTGTAAAAATCTTGATCTGAAAACAGAAATCTGAATAGATAATCTGTATAAACAAAAACACTAAATAAAGAGATTTACTAATCTGACTATTAGTTAAATTAGATATAAAATTATATTATATAAAATTAACTAGATTGATAATATAAAAAAACTTATAAAAATATACAAGATACTAGTAAAATTATAAAAGAGAATACTAGGAGGGTGGTGACCTAGTGAAGTGGTCAGGTTTTCAACCTCTCAAGTGATAGGTTTGGTATTCAAATCCCATCAATAGTAAAAATTTGGATAATCACCTATGTAATATTCATATTACAGCAATTGTTACTAATAATTAGGTTAGGATACCTGTAATGGTGATTGCATCAGCATGACTGGCAGGTCATGGGACATCTGTGCAATGTTGGAGTTACAAAGAGGAATGCAAACTAACATATTGAGTGGTGCAACCACTAGATAAGTCCTTGTGGCCATGTAAATCTGTTGAAATTGGATAACAAGAAGTCCATTTGGGAAGACCTGAGTAGAGAGGTAGCTGGATTTTTGACAGCTCTACTGTAAAAGCTAGCTCAGTGAAATGGATACCTAGATCTAGTACCTGGTCCTAGTAGCTGAATGGGCAAGAACTTTCGAGTTGAGAAGTCTTGAAGGTACCACCAACCAGGCCACCGAAATGAACCAAAAGAAAAGAATATTGGGCTGACCTGATATACTGATGGATTGGTTGTAGTCTTATATGGGTTATCTGGATTGGAAGTTTGGTAAAAGGGCAGGGAAAAAGGCATGAGTATACTAAAGTACTGGGATTATGCTATGAAGTAAATGCTGGAGTCTAAGTGAACTCTATAAAGACATAGCAGTTTAATGATTAGCTCTGACTGTAAGTGTTAGTTCTGTTATATCAATACCTAGGTTAGTTATAAAAATGAGTACAGAAGGCTTTAGGAGGTTTACCTTAAGGATAAATTAGTCCTAAGATTGAGACAATGATCTGAGCATCTGGGTATGACTCAGTGATGTTAACACAGATTATAGGTTCAGAGGATTTAAAGTAGAACATCTAAGCAGAGGTGTTAGGTATGGCAATTGGTAGGGAACCTTTGGGTGGACTCTTTAAATAGGTAATATAGAAAAGTTATATATGTAGCCAATTGTATACTCTCCTGTAGTAGTTTATTGAACCACAATACCAATAATTGATTAATAAAAGTCAAAAGACCAAAAAGGTTATCTTAACATTAAAATAAATAAATAAATAAAAGAGAATACTGAGATTGTATAATTCTACAAGGATATAGTAATTTAAAGATTACTTTGACTATAAATGTTGGTCTTATTTATAGTATTATAAGGTTGTAGTCTTCTTGGTACAATACAACCAAATAACAAGATTATCTGGTACAGTGATTGACTATTACAAATATATACAGAGTGGAAATATAGTAGTTCACTTTATTACACAGTAGCAGGCAAATGGTTCGAGATAATAACAGTATATAGATTAACTTTTATTAAATAAATACATAGTGACAACCTTGCTTATAGGAATTACTCTAAAGAAGGAATATTACTTTTACAAGTTAGAAGTAAGGTAAGAAGGTCTAGGTTAAAGTATAGAAACTTAGAATTGGTAAGAAAGAGAAAAAAATACTTTTTATATATCTTTTTACCTATTAGTAGGGATTTAAACAATATTACTTGATACTGTACTCAGAGTAATAGAGAATTCGAACAACATTAAATATCATTGTACTTGGGATAATAAAGGTTTAAATAACATTAAATAATACTATACTTGGGATAGTAAAAACTGTACAGAGCCAACTGAAGATATTGTTTATATTATTTGTCATTCATGCTTGAAACACTTGGGGCTTGTGTTTAGACACTTGAATCTGTGCAAAGACACTTGAGATTGGTGCAGAGATACTTAAGGTTTATATAGGAATACTTGGATTCATGTCAGAGATACTTGAGATTTTTGTACTGTAACATTTGGCATAGTAACTTAGTGCTAGAATACATGAAACTTGTTTAGAGATACTTGGAGTTTGTAAGATAATAGTAATATCACAGATGTTACTTAGTATTATGTAGCTGTATTACATTTCTAATAGTCAATTAAAATCTTTTTATCTATCTACTATATAATATAACTATTGATTAACTAATGACTAATAATAAATATAATATAAAATACAATAATAAATATATATAATTACTAATACTACTATATAATATAATATACTAAAACCTACTTTGTAACAATAGTAATATTAGATTAGCTAAAAATTGAATAACAGAAGACTTAGATGGGTTTGATACAAAATTAAAAATTTTTTATATAAGTAGATTGCTTTAAAGACCTAATAATCATAGTATATTTGTATTAGTAAAAACTAAAGCAATTAGTAGAGTAGATAAATAAATAAATACAAAAATCAGAAAATTAAATAAAGAACTTATAAGTAGGTTATAGGTTTGGCAACTAATATAAAACTTTTAAGCAGACTACTTAAACTAAATTATGACTAAAGTTATAAGTAGCTAGTTGTATACACTTTCTATAATTTTCTTTT